GTCATGTGGGCTCTCATGAGATCGAACTTTCAACCTTCTGATCGTCAGAGACTTAATTTTTTTAATTTAATAATTCCCAACTTTATTTAACACCGTTCATTCCATTACAGCTACTTATAGAGTTCAAGAGTTTGAAGGTAAGTAATCTTACCATTCTTTTTCACTGAGTTTTTGTAGTTGTTACTACTAATAAACAAAGTTCTAAGGTTGATCATAATGGGGAGGGGGTAGCGTTTTAGAATGGGAAACTTTATAACAGTTTACTGAAAGGTGGAGAGGGAGGGTTTACAACCTTCATATCACAGTAACCGATCAATCACATGAAGATGTTGCACGTGCCTTAACCACCTACTTGTTTCATCTATTAATTAAGACTATTCGAATAATACGTGCTTTAAGGTACACATATGAGGGATCCCATTGCTTGATGGGTACTTTATGCATCTGTAATGAGCGGTCCACTATTCAGCCACATTTCACTCATATTTTGAAAATTCCACTTTATCTACAGTTAGTTAAACATGGCTGACTTTTTAACCTATATAAAGCTTGAAAAGACCAAAGTTAACGACATGGTCAATGTGTATGGTATATTTTATCATGATATTTAATATTGTGCCTTTTCGAAGTAAATCATTCCAAATTTTGACAAATAGTGTGTAGTACACCCAGTAAGGTGAGCAACAGCATTTGCCTAGCCTGAAATTCGACGCCTTTATTTGGTATAGTATCAATTATTAACATTTGATGGCATTACACTGAAGACCGATTCAGTGCATGACAATATGGACTAAATTAGATACCACATTATTTAGTAGAAGTCGTCCTTAATGAACTGTGGTGAGCTCTGTCCTGTTGATATCAATGAAGTTGTTGCTTCTTCGTCTATTGAAAGCGAAAACGTGAATTAAAGTGGTATGATCGAGCATTCCAGTTAAAACTATCCCGGTAAGTAAGCTCTAAACACTGTGGACAAAAATTTTCCCAAAAATCTGGAATGCATACCTTGATGTCTGATTTTTTAAACCGGAAACAATGAGCAATCCAATATAGTTCCCAGCACCTGTTCGATCCCATTTAGGATATTCCTGGATGGATTTTACTAAGTCTGATGCCAATTACTTTCCCAATGTTAGCAAACGCTAAATCTTACCCCCCCCCCCTAACTGTTTTCGGCAGTAATAATTATTATTATTTACTAAATATTTCTCACTTTAGCATCCCCCGATTGGCTATATTACTTTGGATGTCGTTTGAGAGTCGATTTGCACCCTAAGGTTCTCTATTTCCAGAAGGTAAACTTGCTTACTTGTTTCGAAGGAAGTGCGAAGATTAATTCTCTGTTTTATTAACAAGACAGAAAATAATAATTCACCTATTATATTATCGTGGTAAGGGAGAAATTGGCACAAATTTTGTTCAAGGAAAGTATTTAAACAATAATGTTGGCAGAAGCCATTCATACAATATTTGAAGGATTTAATGGTAAACAAAAATCTAAGCCTTACTACATTTAACAATGAAATCGTATTTTCCTTAATTCGCTGTGTGATAGGTTGTTATTATTGCCATTTCGAAATTCTGTGAGTTTTTTCCATGTGATTTCGTTAAGTTATTGTCTTAAGGAAACTTTCTAAAAAGAAGAGAAAGTCTATCTGCATCTTCGAATATCTTTGAAGGGTCAGTAATGGCCTTTAATTATGTCTGGTGGTTTGATAAATGCGAGGTAGATGGATCAATAGGTTTCAGCATCTAAATTACTTTAAAATAATTCAGATATTAAACTGCTTGAGTTATGAGATATTCTAGATTTTCAAAAATTTACAATTGAGACTCAATTTAAGCTTGGCGAGTGGATGGCCTGTTTCTTCGCATTCACCAAAGATTAAGTTTCTATTCCCGTAGTTGTGCAACGAAACTACTCTGAAGGGCCATTATCTGCCCACATTTTAATAGTCTAATGGATAAGCAAACTGCCGTTTGTCGAGCTAAGTTCCGAACAAGTTTTAATTTGTTATCTTCTACCTTGCGATAGATGTTTCAAAAGTGTTTCTGGGATTTTCGTTTGTGCCACAAACAAAAGTACGTTCGATTGTAGAAATAACTGTGCATCACGAGCTCCCTCTTGACATTCATGACAATGAATTAAACAGCATCATCAGCAAGACCTCTACTATCCTTGTTTTCATTTAAATGACGACCTGGTTAGTTAGATTCCTGAACTCTGACTATTTGAGAAAGGAGTCCTGACTGACAGGACTTATCATTTAAAACGATTTTCTGATCAATCGATCTCAAACAATCTAGACGTAGAAACTTAAAAATAGACTTAAAAATAATATTAATTAAGGGTAATTTTACCATTTTTTAGGTGAATCATTTCCCGGCAACTTTTTATTTGGGTCGAAAAGATCAACTATGGCGAGGTATTTCACTTATGCAAAGAACGCAAGGTCTCGAGGAGTTTGGTTTTATACCGAGGACATTTTGTATTCCTAAGGAACTTGAGCTATTGGAAAAAGAATGGATAGCTGAAGGCGAACCCCACTATTGGATTATTAAACCAGTGAGAACTATTTAATTTAATGTGCTACTATTAAGTTATCAGTAGCATAGGTTATAATATGCAGCATGATTGTGGTCTTTGAAAGATTCTCAACACTTTAACTATAACTTAGAAGCTATCAAAACAAATATGGCCTTGGTTTTACATATATAATCAATTACATCTTTGAAGCACCCCCACTGGTAAATCGTTTCCCTAATACTATAGCAAAAACCCTTAACATTAGGTATATTTGGACAAGCAGTTATTTTTCGTTTTTGCTTTTCATTCAAATAAAGATCGCGACTAACTAAATTGTTTCTCATATTCTAAGCCGGCAAAGGCCAGAGGAATTGGAATTCAAGTGGCCACGAAATGGTCACAAATATTAAAGGCTAATGACGTTATTGTTCAGAAGTTCGTTATATATTAATACCCTTATATTAAACGTTTACCTCATAAGTTTAAAATAAAGAGCTTAACCTTTTAGGTACATTTCAAACCCCTTCTTAATCAACAATGCCAAATTTGATCTTCGCATCTATGTTTTCCTCTATTCCGTCTACCCTCTAATTATTTATATACATAAAGAAGGTCTGGTAAGATTTGCATCACATCAGTAAGTGGATTCTGCTACTTAAATGTATTTATTTATTTATTTCAAATGGCAGGCGTTTTGAAAGATATCATTACCCATTTAGCTGACTTCGGGCTTCACAGAGGGGAGGTTCATCAAAGTATCAGAAAGTCGAGGGGTGGGGAACAGAAGAGCGATTCACAGATGTAAAAGAGGCAGACAGACACAAAGGTAGAGAAAAAAGGTAAGGTGAGTACTGTGGAAGGGGTCGAATATGACAACCAGGGGGGTCGTGGTAGTTTGAAGTGAGAAGTCAACTGCCGAATAATAGACTTTTTTGCCGTATGAGTATACGTTGCCCAGGGTGCACCACGTGGAATTGAGTCTATCGCACACCCCGCTACTTAAATGTGATAAATTGTAAATCAAAATATCCTTATTGGGTTCTTTTTAATTTAGGTACAAAACCTCACCATGTCATACCGATGATCAGTTTATGCACCTCACAAATTATTCAATTAACCGTAAAAATACAGATTACAGGCGGAATTCGGATGCTGAACAGGCGTTTGGCCACAAATGGTCTGTTTGCTCGTGTAATATAGATCCCTCGTTCCCTTTTGTTTGTATAATCGCTTTTGTTTTCTCCTTAAACAGGACTCTAAGTGTTTTGTGGCAATATTTGAGTACCAATGGAATAGATTGGAGGCCTATTTGGGAAAATATTAAGGATATTGTAGTCAAAACGTGC